AGGCTCTCCATAGGGCATTACTGCAGGGATGCACAGACAGGCTCTCCTTAAGGCGTTAATGACAGTCATAGGAGCACAGGTGGACCTGCTGGACTATCAGGGTTGTGGTGGGAAATGCTGAGGCTGAACTGACTAAGCAGTGGAATCACAAGCCATGATTAGTACAGGGAATGAAGCCTGCATTTTCTGTGTTTAGCTCCAGGACCTCTTGTTAGTCCCAGGGAGCTGAAGATAAGCCCAAGATCACCAAGAGATTCCAAGGAGCTCTCAATCTCAAATCCAGTTTGAAATATCCGGGCCTATATCACCCAGGAGTTAGCAGTAAATTTTTGTTTGGTTTGTTTTTGAGCCAGGGTCTCACTATGTAACTCAGGCTGACCTGGATTCATAATCCTCTAGATTTCTGAATGCTTGTGTTAAAATTACAAGTGTGAGCCATTATGCCAAACTTTTAAAAAATTTTAAATGGGCTGGAGAGAAGGCTCTAAAGCACACTTGCTATTTTTTTTTACTTAAACTATTTTAATTTTAATCACTTCCTTTTTAATATACTAAAATATTTAATGACCTTAACACAGAACTGATGTGTATATTGAAATATAGACATTTTCCTCAACAACTCAAGGTAAGTGGTTTATTTAAACTATTTTAATTGTAATCACTTCTTTTTTTACTTCATTATTTATTCAGTTACAAGATATAGTCAGGAATATGTATCATCCCATATACATAACACACATTTGATCCCGTACAGGTCTGCCAGGTCCTCTAGCACAAGGTAATGGAGAAATTCATCAATTAATGATTGGAAATGTGCTGAAGGCCTCAGAATTTCATAAAAAAACATCACGTCAATACGCTATTCTTGCAGAGGACTCAAGCATGGTTCTAAGTACCAACATCTGGCAACTCACAACCACCTTAACTCCTGCTTCAGCAGATCTGATTCTGTCTTTTGGTCTCAGAGGGCACCCACACATGTGGCACAAATACACATGTACACATAAACAAAAATAATAAAAATAAAGGTAAAAAGAAAACCCTTAAATGTGTTTATTAATTCTTTTTTGTCTATTCAATTTGTTTGTTGATTCTGGGGTTACTATAACCAGGTCTTTTACATTGCCCAGCAAAACAAAAATTTTTAACAGAACTGTATTTTATCAAAAGACGTTTCTAACATAGATGATTATAATTTTCTTGGGTCAGGGTCTTGCTATGTAGCCCTGGCTGTCCTGGAACTCTCACTCTGTACACGAGGCTGGCCTTGAACTCCTACAGATTCAATGCCTCTGCCTCCTGAGGGCTGGAATTAAAGGCATGTACCACTACTCCTAGTTTAACATAGATTTTTAAGTACAGAAAAAACAAGGAAATAAAAAGACATACTCAAGTGTAGGTATGAATTTCTTACAGGAGAGTCACCTAAACAACCCCCTCAAATTGATTTACTTATTTCATTATTTTTATTCGTGTATTTGTGTCTATGTCTGACATATGCGGTATTTGTGTGCCTGAGGAGGCCAGAAGAGGGTGTCAGGTCCTCTGGAGATGGAGTTATAGGTAGATGTGAGCTCCCCAACATAGGTGCTAGTCCCCTGCAAGAGCAGCAAGAGCCCGGAAGTGCTGAATAATATCTTCAGTCCCCCTAAGCAAGCTTCATAAATGTTATTGTTGTTCAGGCTTTGTGTTCTTCAAAATTAAATAGAGAAATAATAGAACAATGTTGTAAAAACTCCATACAGGAATGTTCAGTAGAATTTCTTCTGAAGATGGAAATGTCCAGCGTGGTAATTATTAGGCACACATGGTTATAAAATCTTAATGAATTTAAATTGATTTGTAAATACATGAGACTAGTGACTACATTTTTTTCCTTTCCCTGTTTGTCTTTTATTTCTTTTTTTGTTTTTAATCTTTGTAGTTTCATATTTTTAGTGGCTATATTTCATACAATGCAGTTTAAAAATTCAAATGTTTCTCTTCCTTATATAAAAATAAAGAAGCCAAATGTGTTGATGAACAGATGTAATCCCAGCACTCAAGAAATGAAGACCAAAGAATCAAAGGTTTAAGGGCAGCCTCAGCTACAAAGCCAGCCTGTGCTGCATAAAACCCTGTCTCAAAAAAATAGCAAACAAATAAATGTAGGAAAATCAAGGACATTAAGCATCATTGATGTAATAACAAATTTGTACCATTTTTATTCTCCATCATCTTCTTTATAACTTTCATTAAATTAAAAATTACTAAATCATCAAATTCATTTTCCTATGTTTTAAGATATTATGCCTAATTTTTTTTAATGAAACAATTAGGCTAAATGGGACGCTGAGTGAAAGTGATTTTATTTTCATCTTGGGTAATGGGCATATAGCTTATTAAGTCCTCAAGAGTTACTGACTGCATCTGGGGAAAACAGCACACGGTAATTTGAATAAACAGCCTATGACTAAACAGAGAAAAAAGGTGGAAGGCAATTAGCACAGTGCTTCTGAATTTGCCACAATCTCCTACTTCCTTTTTATTCCCTGTTCTGCTTTACATTACCTTAAAATGGTCAGATTTGAAAGCTGGGTGTAGCAGTGCATGACTGAATATTGGCACCCCTGGTGACTAAGACAGGAAGAAGAGCAAGATTTCAAGGCCATCCTGGGCTACGTAGTGAGCTGGAAGTCAGCCTGTGTTACACAAGACCAGACAAACAACACATCAAATGGTCAGATTTGAAGATTTGAGATAGCACCGAACCTATGATGATGACAAAGACGACGAAGATAAGAATGGTCACGATGGGGTCTAGGGAAGTGGCTCGGGATCAAAGAGCACAGGTTGCTCTTGCATAGGAACTGGGTTTGCTTCCCAGCACCCACATGGTGGTTCACCACCATCCGTAACTCTGGTTCCTTCTTCTGACCTCCAAAGACATTCCCCAACATGCATGTGCTGCACAGACACACATGCGGTCAAGACACACCCAAATCAAATGAACAAATCTTTTAAAAAGGAATGCGCATGATCCTAAAAGGAGCAGACAGAACTGAATGTCTAGACATTGCCAGCCTCTTGTGTCGGTCTAGGCAACCTGCTGTGGGGCTCCGAGCTGTCAGAAACAATGAGTATGGTCTTTACAATTCACAACTAAGCAGGGGAAGGACAGGCCCACAGAGGAGGAAATTTGCTCACTGGGGCAACAAAGGCCACAATATTCTCCTGCCTGAAAACAGTCTGGGGCAGTGCTACATGCCAAGAGCCAAACAAATGGAAAATATGCCCCATTTCCCCCTCCACCAACTTAAAAAAAGAACATTAATTTCTCATTTATTAAGATAAATGAGAGATTAATCAAGGGAAGTTGACTTTCTCTGCCACTTCTGCCTGCCGAAAGCTGTCCGAATAACAGGCAGGCAGGATTGTAGATGGTTAACGTTCAACCTTCGGCTAAAACGAAAAAAAGGAAAACTTTAATAGCTGGATCAATATGACTAATTTTTTCCATCTTAGGCCTTAGACCACAAAGTACCAGAATTCATAGTAAGCCAGTCTGGATAGGATGTGGGCATGCTTGTAGGAAACCACACCCAGCAACCAGAAATTTCTTATGACTCAGGCCAATTTCTTTTAATAAGAAGACACCCAGTGCTGAAGGCAAGGAAGGGAACTTACAGTTAAAACACATTTGTGGAGCGGTTTCAGAATCCTGGCCTTAAGCTAGATTAACACCATCTTTGGCAAGCATTTTCTTCTTTGCCCATCTTTTAATTTTATATATATATATATATATATATATATGGGTTCAGGGAGAAACCTAGATCTCAGTGCAGGCCAACATTCAAAAAGTCTGTGTGAGGCTTTTTTTTTTTTTTTTTGATAGTGGAAATTTTCTCTTTAGTGCTATACTTAGCTACTTCATCTGCCCATAAACAGAAATGCACACACCATCTTTCCTCATTATCTCAGTGGTTCTTATCCAGGGGGGCAGTTTTGTTCCCTAGAAGTCACTGGGAAATGGCTACAGACACTTTTGGTTCTTATAACTGGGGTGGGGGTGGGTTGTGACTAGGATCAAGGGAGTAAACACACTCCCCCACAGCCCTGCACCCACGCCAGCGGGGAGAATCCCTGCAACACCATGACAGGGACAATAACGTGCGCCTCCAAGGGAGCCACAGTGCATTGAAAGCCCATCTGCTGCCTCATTTGAGCCCACGTGTTTACAGCAGAGCGCACCCTTGCAAGCTGGCCTGCTAGAATTAACTCTGGGATTTCTAACTCCAGACAGAATATTTCATTCAGAGCAAGAAGACAATGACCCACTTGCAAAACTTAACATGCAAATCCTATAAATGTAAGACCCACTACAACAGTTTGCAGTCTGTGTGTCAACCTTAGTTGTTTTTTTAAAAAAAAAAATTCTAAGATATCAGCCTTCAAGACATCTGAAATTCTCATAGCCCTGTCTACTTTCAGCGTGACATCATTTAGCATAAAGATCTAAAAGAACTTTCTATGTCTACTGCCATTACAGTCATGTTCACAGGTTTGGTTTTGTTTTTCGCGACAGGGTTTCTCTGTGTAGCCTTGGCTATCCTGGAACTCACTCTGTAGACCAGGCTGGCCTCGAACTCACAGAGATCTGCCTACCGAGTGTTGGGATTAAAGGTGTGCGCCAACATCGCCGGAACATATTCATAGTTCTTAACGTGTATAAATTTCGGTTTTTTCTGCCGACCTTTTCACTCTTAAAGGACTGGAGTACTCACAGGCTCGGTTCCGGGTTCTGTAAGTGCAGGTATAGAGACTGCAGGACCTCCGTGGCGTAGACCTCGGAACCTGGAACCTTCTCCACAGCAATGTACACGGAGATGTGCGCAGAATCACTCTCAGGTGATTCATCAGTGGCATCGTCAGCTTGGAATCTCCAGCAGTGGCTACACACCTCGACAGAGCCTAGAAACCTGCAGGACAGAGGAAGGCAAGCTATACACAACAGGGAGTGGAAAGCCGGAGGACAACTCGGAGAGGACCGCTGGAAAACTAGTTCACACCCCGATGTGGGGGTGGGGCGAATGGGAGGCAAGAGTTGATTCACTCCTGTTTTTCAAACTGAGTGCCTTGGTGGTATGCAGGGTTCAGAGGACTGACTCAGGGTTTGGCCATTCCCTCTGAGTTGGCAAACATTAGAGGCCCAGAGGAAGGATTCTCCTTCACACACATAAATAAAGACTGGTACCTACCGTTTCTCAAAATTAAAAGAAAGTTTATTCCCTCAAATCCTAATTAGTTACCCAGTATGGTATTTATATGCAGGAAGAAGTCAACGATTAATACACCTTTCAGGCAGTCTGAATTTTTTTTTTTAATTGTTTCTGGCTTGCTTTAAAAAAAAAAAAAGGCAGATACATCCTGCCAAAACAGCTCTGGCTAGTTTTGAAGTCTACATTTAAGTATATCTGTGGCTCTTGCCAGTTTTTAGTGTAACACTGGCTTGGGAACACAGACAAAACGAACAATGGTGAGCCTTCAACCTTGTCTCTACCACACACAGTCACAGTGAAAGGCGCTCCGAAGCAATGCTTTCCAAGGTATTCACCAAAGCCCTCTTGCTGGACTCCATTGACACTATATGCATATAACACACAGACATACATGCAGACAAAATACCTGCACACACAAAGTTTAACAAAAACAAAGCAAGGAATTGAGGACCTGAGCAGGTTTGTTTGTGGTGGAGAATTGTAGATCCTATTTTTTATTTTTTGTTGTTTTTTGTTTTGTTTTGTTTTGTTTTTTTTGAGACAGGGTTTTTCTGTAGCTTTGGTGCCTGTCCTGGAACTCACTCTGTAGACAGGGCTGGCCTCGAACTCACAGAGATTCACCTGCCTCTGCCTCCCAAGTGCTGGGATTAAAGGCGTGCGCCACCACCACTGCCCGGCTGTAGATCTTAATTTTAAGAACAGAGAATTATGGCATGACAGTAAGCACGTATTGGAACGGTAGTAAGGGTCGTCCCTAGTGTTCTTTTATTTTATTTGTTGCAGCATTACATATCCCAAGGTCTCAAGTATGCCAGGCAAGTACTTTGGCACAGAGACCACGCGGTCTCTTGTCTATATTTTTGATATACCTTTTCAGAGAAGCATCTCCCTGTCTCTTCTAATAGAACCTAAAAGACCCCAATCGAAATTAGAAGCCACCAGTCTAGGCACTGAAGGGTGGGAATTCTCCCAACATTTTGCTGCTGTTTCAACATTTATTATAATCTCCTTTGTTCCAGATACTATTGTTGGCTACTGTGATTCTAAGGAGGGGCGAAAGTCACTAAAACAATCTTGATACATGCTATATGTTATGCTGCCGGAGGGAAAGAAACCTGTTTCGTCCCTGTTGCTGTCTATTTCCGCTTACACTTCCAGAGTACAGGTCCATAATTGAGGGGACTCAGGGCACGAACTCAAGCAGGACACCATGGAAGAAGGCTGCCTGATGGCCAGGCAGGCAGTATAGGTGGGAAAGCCAGACAGGAAGTAGGGGTGGAGCAAAGAGACTGGGAGTATTCAGGGAATGGTTCTGCCCACAGTCGGCTGGATCCTCTGGAATCAATTAATAGCCAAGACACAGGGACAGACACAACCTGATCAAGACAAGTGAGACTCACTTCTCAGGTGATCCTAGTCTGTGTCACACTGACAGGAAATGCCAAGTAGAGCAAACTTACATATAAAGTTCCATATTATTTAATCATTCAATCACCACTGCTGATTAGACAAGAACAAGAAAATACGCCATTAGTATATGTTTGTGTCAAATAAGGAAATTGGGGTGAACAAATACATTTTTCTAAGGAAACGGCCTTTCAGTTCTCCTTCAAATGCATTCTGTGCCAGATTTGTGAACGGTATGACGTGCTAAACATCTGTTGGGTCCGGAATATTTTGAAGACTGAAAAATATTGATCAAAGCCAGGGTAATGCTTCATGCCTATGATTCCCAACACTTTGGAAACGGAGGCAGGAGGATCAGAAATTCAAAACCTGGACTACAAGAGACCCTATCTCAAAAAGATAGATAGCTCAGGGGATGAAGGTACCTGCCATACAAGCCTGGAGACCTGAGTTAGATCCCTGGAACCCACGGTGGAAAGACCAAACTGCATTCCAGAAAGTTGTACAACTTGTCCTCTCACCCTGACACGTGCGCGCACGCACACCCAGGCATCACAGTAATAATAAATAAGGATGTAAAATAATCTTGCTCAGAATGACTACCAAAACCCAACCTAACATCAGCTGCATGTCACAGCTGAAACAGAGTAGGGGGAGCTTCTCAGCTACTGTAAAGTAAAATGCACTGCCTTATATAAAGACACGAAGCACATGCAGTACTGACAATAGGAAACTAGAGAAACAGAAGGCAGACTACTGGTTGCTAGGGTGGAAGTGAAAGGGACAACAGCAACTGGCCACTTACTAGGTAGGAGGGTTTTGTTTTTTTTTTTACTTTTTTTTTTTGAGGTGATGGAAGATTTTGGAACTAAATAGAGGGGGCAGTTATACAAAACTGTGAACATTCTAAATGCTACTGTGATTTTCACTTAAAGAAGTTAGTTTTATTTTGTGTGACTTTTTTTTACCTTAACAATTATATCTTATAAAGCACAGGAACAGGGAAAGATGCACCAAACCCTACAGTTTCTGTTTCAGGTGGAAAAAACAGCTCCCGACAGTTTGGTCTTGACGAGGGAGCAAAGGCACAAAATAAGAAGAAAAGCTGGGAGATTTTCCCAGATGTATTTCACTACAGACTTGAAAGCTTCTTCCCAAGAAAAGTATCAGATGAAAAGAAAAGTAAAAATACACACACAGAAAACTGGTATCAGGACCCACCCACTCAGTGCCAAAGCAAGGAGGCAAAGAATGTGATCTCAGCCTCTTCTCCCTCTTCAAGCACATCCCTGCCATCCAGAGGCTAGGAGCTGGCTGCTTTCCTCTGTACCGCTGTCCTTGATCTTGTGCCTTTTGAACTAGAGGGAAGAAGGAAGACTACACGAAAGTAAAAGGAGACAAGCGTCACACCAGCAGTGGCAGTGCGCCCAGTGAGAACAGGAGAGAGGAGTCACACCAGCAGTGACAGCGTGTCCAGTGAGAATAGGAGAGAGGCGTCACACCAACAGTGACAGAGTGTCCAATGAGAACAGGAGAGAGGAGTCACACCAGCAGTGACAGCGTGTCCAGTGAGAACAGGAGAGAGGCGTCACACCAGCAGTGACTGTGTGCCCAGTGAGAACAGGAGAGAGGAGTCACACCAACAGTGACAGCGTGCCCAGTGAGAACAGGAGAGAGGCGTCACACCAGCAGTGACTGTGTGCCCAATGAGAACAGGAGCAGTTACTTTCTATAGTTACTCTCCAAGTTACAATCATGGGTTCCAGGCAGAACAGTAACTGTCATCAAGCCATCTCCCAGATGGTTAACTGATTGGGTTAACTCACCCAATCCCCAGCATGCAGTGTACATTACTTTGTCAAATGCACCCCTTGGAACAGCAAAGTGCATCCATCACACAAGAGGAGAGAATGATAAGATGTTTCTGAAGGCGAACGAGATCCTCACTTCTAAGCCTGACTCTACCTAGGCCTTTTAGGCAAGTGATTTCTAAATTGTGTACAAACTTGCTCAAAAGGTATTTGAAATTCTCAAACCAAAGTTAAAATCAATTTTGTTTATATTTTATATGTATTTGAGTGTATAGTTTCTTAGATAAAGCATGTATGCAAAGCCCTACTCATTATTTAAACACAATCTTGTAAGAAATGTATAGGAAGATTATTTTGCTAGGGGGTGAGGCGATAGCTCAACCAGTAAAGTGTTTGGTATGCAAGCCTGAGGATCTGAGTTCGAATCGCCAGTACCCATGTAAAAAGCCAGGTGTCACAGAACGTGCCTGTAATCTCAGCACTGGGGAAGTAGAAACAGGAGGATCCCGACAGCTTGCTGAACAGTCTAGCCAATTGGTGAGTTCCAGATTCAATGAGTGACCCTATCTTTTAAAAAATGCAGTACCTAAGGATGATACACACACATTATCTCGCTAGTGCCTTCAAACAAATAATATCTTGTTTACAAATATCTTCTTTAACTGAATTAACAGAACAGTCTTACAAAATAAGAGCTTACTGACCACCTTAATTCATTGTTTGATTCTGCTTTCTTTTCTTAATTTTTTATTATGGAAAACTTCAAATTTATCTCGTGGGCCCACTGTACAAGTGCATGCATAGATTCAGTCAAACAGGAATCAAAAGTATATGTAAAAAAATTGTACCTGTTTTGGACACATACCACTTACTTTCAGTTTGCATTGTCTTTTTTGTAATTTAAAATTGTTTTTCACTGGGTGTAGTGGTACAAACATATAATGCCAGCACTTGAGAGACTGAGGTAAGAAAATTTCTAATTTGAAGCTAGCCTCGGCTACCTAGTGAGACTCTTTCCAAAAAAAGCGGCATCAAAATAAATAAATGAAAGTATTTAACACAAAGACACAAAACTGTGTATATTTATGGAGTACTTTATGATATTTCAATACATGTGCACCTTATGTCACTGGTATAAAAGACAAGCATCTTCAGATTTGGTTTCTGAGAAGATCATGGAATCATTCTCCGTGGATATTTAGGGATGACTGTATAGTGAAAAATACTGTCTTAAAACCAGCTATGTGCTGTACAGTTGAAGAACACTCTTTTAATCCAGGCACTTGGGAGACAGATGCAAGTGAATCTCTGTGAGTTTGAGGCCAGCCTGGCTTACAAAGCAAGTTCTAGGACAGCCAGGGCTACACAGAGAAACCCCAGTCCTGAAAAACCAAAACCAAACCAAACAAACAAACGAAAAGCCGGGCAGTGGTGGCACACGCCTTTAATCCCAGCACTTGGGAGAGGGAAGGTGGATCTCTG